GTAAAAGCAAAGTTGATGGATTTGAAAAGCATCAATTAGTTGCTTCGTTCGTGCATCCCAGCACTCACTTTATCCCCTAGTGTAGCTCATAGTTCGGAGTTTTCTGAGAGGTGTTACTTGCATATCGTGACACATAGCAATTATCCCCTCAACACTGCCTGCCAGGAGGTGGTGTAATACACAGGATGAGCTGCCTGATTACTGGCTGCTAGGAGTTTATGTGATGGCAATCCAACTTCTATAATTCCACTAAGTGTAACTAGCTTTATTGTCGGCATGAACTCACAGTGACTCCCTGGGAGGAAAACGGTGACTGGCACCTCGGCTGGCCCAACTCCAGCCATGGCGTCATTCAAAGACTACCAAAATCAGCAGAATGCCCCACATTTAATGGGTAAAAGTAGACTTGTAGTGGTTAAATTATATGGTGTTTCATCACAGACTGAATGACAAGTTACAATTTCCCTTTGGTAAGTTGTTTTTCATTTTAATTAATAATTGATGAAAAAATCTGTTCTTATTCTTTAAGACATGACTCCGGATTCCTCGAATGGGTGGCACAGCCATTTAGCTGAAGTTTAGCAGCATTTCGAGTACAGCATCAAGTCACCAGAGCGTGATGTCCTTAGAGGGCTTGACTGTCACAAGAAATCTACTGCCAAACATAGAACCCTATGGTATATTCTCCCAGGGGGATACTAAAGCACCTTCTCAGGTAGACACATTCATTTTAGATTAAAACTGGCTTTACAATATTTGCCTCTTTTCTGTAGTTTTCTGTGACAGCTACTTGTCAGCCTATCTGTCCGGTTCCATTTGAGATTTCATTGTAATTGTAGGCAGAACTGACAGGCACCTTCCCTGTTTTGTTCCATCTGCAGTTCAGTGTCATTCACTCAAGGCAATATGGAAAGACCAGCACTCCTAAACAAATGAAAACCAATGTTTTATTTACAGGAAAAAATCTGTACACTGTGCATACCTAAAAATATACAAAATCATAATAGAAAATATAAAAAGTGTTAAAATGTATACAAACACTGCTTAAAAATGTGACTCCTGTAAAATCTTAAGCTTTGTTATTAGAGTACACATTCATTTAAAAAAATCATTATACAAAATAATTCTCAAAGCTATTAAAAAAGTACACAGTCTATATTTGAATAGTTCAATGACTACATATTATAAGAGTGATGAGATGGTATGGATACATGTAAGGCTTTTACACACAACTCTTATTTCAAGCACAAAACTCTGAATCTGAACACTAAGTCAGAGGGAAGAAATTTGCAGTGTCAGAATTCATTCACTGATGCATGTATGCCCAGACATGGGCTACTTTAAATTTCAAACAGTTAAATCAGGTATCCTCCTTGTGTGCGAGAGGATAGCTCGTGGGAAAGATTCAGATGCTTTCTAATGACAGTCTTCTGAAATATCAACTTCAAAAAACAATTTCATTTATTCAATGTGCATCAACTTTTGAAAGCATGAAGGGAAAAATAGTAGCCTTTTATTTTTGCAGTCAATGCATTTAATATTCCTTTCGTGGTACATCAGTGTGAAGAAAAAGGAAATGAAAAAGAAAAACCCCACCGTGGACTGGATTGGCCTACATGTGTTTTGAACTCCTGTTTAATTCAATCGATCTCTAAAATGACTTTGTTCAGTCTGTGCAACCATTGAGTGTAGTCACTTTTTTTGCGAAAAAAAAAAAAAAAGTATCGATTTTCCTGACTTTGGCAAGAGATCTACAGCAACAAGTTCAGAATTGTGATGCTTTCACCACAGAAAGTGTCCTGACCAAAGAGATGCAATGATTTAGCTAAATTTGTACAGAGAGAGTGTAGATTAGGGTGTGTAAATCACCCCCCTCTCTCTCCAAAGGTACATATTTCTTATATCATGGTAATTTCACTGACTTTACCAGAGTTTCAACATAATAAAACAGCACAGCAAGGTACAAAACGATGATGTAGTAGTTTAATCCAAAGAATGTCTGTCTGAACTGTGAGTTCATGCTCAGGTATCCTTTAGAGCTGTAAAGGAATGGAAAAATTAACATTTTTTTTTCTAGCAAAAAGCTTTTTGCTCACAATGAGGCAAAATCTTTTTTTTTTTTCTTGAATAAACAGAAAGAACACCTTGATTTAACCATCTAAAGACTGGATGCACAAAATGACAGAGCACCAAGTCAGAAAGGCTACAGAGTTCACAGTGTAAAAAAAAGAGCATCATGAAATTCGGCATAAACTCCGCACGTTTCCTGAAGCTGCTGCTGTGTTTCTGGTTTGTTTCAGCTCAGTGCAACTGCTGTCCACAGAACCAGGGCACAGAAATGATGCTCGACAGCTTTTGAAGGCAACTTACCCCTACTTGTCAGTAAAACTCCATAAATTTAAAACCTGCATCAATTCAACAAGTGCAAAAGGAGCTCAGGGGTCCCCTAGCAGAGGCATTTGCTTGGCTGATGATGCACCTCAAGAGCCGGGTTTGCGCAAACCTCTCTCGTCTACCACGCCCTTCCACTCTGTTAGGGTGCGACAGCCACATGGGTGAGCTACGAAGCCATGCCTGTGTCTTTTTCCCGAAAACCCCCATGGTCTGGGTGGGAAAAAGCATCTCCTTTCACATTGTCTGCATTTACGTATCTAGAACCAGCACTCTCATGCATTATTATTATTAAAAGATATGTGCTTCAGTGTTACTACACACTCACTCGTTTTAAATTTACTGAATGCAAAGTTCTCTCTGCTCTCACAAGGGATGGGGAAACACCCATAAAGGCAAAAATACTTGGTGGGCTCTTATAAAAGCCAGCAATGTCAATGCCATGGAGTGTAAGCAGTGGTGAGGGGAGCACCTCTGCATGGCCTTTATGTTCCCCCATTATTTCTGCCCCTTCCCCTCTTGCAGCAAGTGGAGGTGAGCCCTCAGCGAGCAGATCAGGCACACTCGCACTTGTGCCAAAAACCGAAGGAGGACAAGACAAGGTAGGGGAGTAAAAGCTCATTAAGCAGCCACAAAGGTGTTTGAGCAGGCAGATCAGTGAAACATCACAGTGGAAACCAGCGGTGGGAAGACACGCCAGGGATGCTGATTTTTTTAAGATGAGCATAACATGGTGGGCTTCCTCCTCTGTGAGCAAGCAAGCGTTGGCAGCACAGCTCTGCGGCATCTTCTGAGGTGATGGTGCTACAGCACCTGCATTTGCACTTGTGGAAGGAGCACTGACTGCTGTATAAATCAGGATACGGCAGAGAAAAAATTTCTGCTGGGAGGGCTTGAATGTGTGCAGTCCAGTAAATTAAAAATATACAGTTCATTTTAGAACATCTCAGACGTGGTTCTGCATTGTTACTTAAAAGATGTATTAAGTAGGTATGCTTAGCACTTGTTATATCCAACTTTATCACTTGCCTTGTTCTGTACAACAGCTATGTTGATTATTCCAACAAATTACTGAGGGAATAATAAAACATAATCCTGCTGTGGGTAGTTGGGTAATGCAGTTAGTATTTTCCTCCCTCATGAAAATCGAAGTTAAAGGTTAGTGGTTGCAGACTGGTCAAGTGATACGCTTTTTTTTTCTTTTCAGAACTTGAGAATTTCCAGCTTACGGAAAAATAGCATATTCACTAGTCCTAGAAAGCTAATCAGCTCCCTTCTGTTACAAACATGTGGTAGGTAACCCAGCGTACAGAGAAGAGAGACATGTTTGATTGCACTGTTCAAACTTCGCATGTTTTGCAGAGTTCCAAACATATGGAAAAATAGATTAGTTCTATGTAGGTTATCTATTCTCCACAAGATTAAGTAACAGTGTTATTAACGTTAAGAATAAAAGGTGCCGCCATACCTAACATTAAAAAGAATTCAATATGTAATACATCCAGAGTCTAAGGCTAATAAGTAAAACCTATTCATTTTGACATGTACCAAAATGACTTATGGACATGACTATCCACACCATACAGAAGTACAATTTTTAGGTCATCTGGACATACTTTCTGTCCACAAAAAGGATCTTAAGAGGATCACAAAGCCCAAATTAAGAAACTACATGGGAAAAGGAAGCTAAGTCCTACGTAAGACACATATTCTTCACTTCTGAGGAAGGAAAATCATCAGACCCAAAGAGCAGAGTGAGAGAAAAAGGATTCTGCGATTACACTTACTACTGAAGAGGAAATAGTCATTAATATCATGTGCACCCTTCAATTGCCTTTCTGTTGCTTAAGACAAAACACAAAAAATACTTTCCACCACACTCACTCAGCTATTCTTTTCAGTGCCTCTTTGAGGTGTCTGCCTTTTTACTGAATGGACATGAGTAGGATATAGCTGTGCTTTTATGTACATACGTTCCTGCTAAACTTATCCTAGGAGAAAGGGTACAGTTGTGTGAAAAAAACCCAACAAAATATTAACCTCCTGACACTCGGAAAATCTGAAACTCAAGTCTTGCCATGAAAAATAATGCTTTAAATACACTAGCAACCAGGCAGATCTTTAGAAGCACCTTAGAGAATATTCTCATTGTGTGTTATGAAGGAAAATACCAAATTATCTCCACATGCAATCCGTAGTCAGGTTTTTTGCAGGCATTACAGCTTCTCTGGGGTATAGTCTTTCAAATGTTAAATAAAAAATGCCGATATCCTCTTCTTTTGTCAGAAAACCCCTTATACTTTCTTAACAGCAGTAACTTGTGAATAAGTAAGTTTCATTTGGATCCCAATGAAATACCTAACAAATGATGTCTGTAACTCTGAATGCTATCTTTGCTGCAGAAAAGCGAGCTCCCTCAATGCTTGCTTTCAGTGTGATGTGCGAGTGCTGCACAGCCTTGGCTTTCTCTGGATCTTCTTGATCTGTGCAGTCCAGGGGAAGGCATCATTTCCATCTCACATCCTCTTGATAGGCCTCCCAGGGGCAGTGTTTTCCTGAATGGGTTATGAATATGTTTGTTGCTTTCTAAAGACACGAGGCATTTCTCTTTTCCCTCTGCCCTGTGCAGTCAGTGTGAGCATGGGTGTCTGGCATCAAAAGTACATCCAGTAGTTTAACTGGTTTAGCTGTGTGCACAGCCATCTCCACCTGCACTAGCGCCATAGCCACCATGAAGGCCCCGTACAGCTGGAGGTCTGTAACTGAGCCTGCGTGTGAACGGGAATTGAAGTCTACTCTAGTCAACGACTGTGCAGCTCGGAGTAGCAATTACTTCATTCTTGGAGAGTGTGAAAATCCCACGAAGCCACGAGAAACGCTGCATTGTTCAACTGGCCGCTCTATACACGAACAATAGAGGCTGTTTCGCAATGCCACATTTAACAGTTAAATAAGTTCATTTAAAAAGAAAGTTACAGTCTAGCATATGTGGCATAAGAGACCACTGACAAATTCTGACAGTCACACCCACAACAATACATTATATTTCTGCCTAAGTATGTCCCTTGCACCTCTCACGAGCTAAGCCTTTTTTTTAATTTTCTTTAACTATTTGCAAAGCAGTAATAAATACTCAGGCTCAGAAAAAAAGTATTTCTCATGCCTGCTACTTAATTACAATTTATAGACTCAAGACTAGATTGGTCTAAGATACGTTTTTCAAGTATTCTCTTCTTGTTTATAGTACGACAGTAGTACCTTATTGCACATTGTTTCTGAAGGACTCTCTTCTACAAGTGTGGGAAATTATTTCGTTTGGGGCACTTGACAGCTTTGAACCCTGGCAAAATGACTTTCCCCTTCCGATACAAATCATCCTGCAGACCTTTGTTCATCCTCTGCACCAACAGCTTCTCATAGAGCAGTGGGTGGTAGGCCCCTAAGGTACAAGCTGCATCGTAGTAGAGTTCGTGGTAGTGACACAGGTCGGTCTGTCGGACTGAAGGGATGTATTCGTACACGTGCACTTCGTTACACATGGACATCATGATGAGGATACCTGGAGCAGAAAGTGAAAACGAAAGTGAACCCAGATTTCACCTTTTCTCACCAAAATTTACCTGCAGTTACTCAGTCTGGTTTTCTTTCTTACTTTAGAAAGGAGTTACAGAATCACAGAATCACAGAATGGTAGGGGTTGGAAGGGACCTCTGTGGGTCATCTAGTCCAACCCTCCCACCGAAGCAGGGTCACCTA